GATGCCTCTTATGACCTACCCACACATTACAAAACTAGGCACATGTAGGTCTCAGCGTCTAATATTAAACTATAACTTATGATTCTTGTTCAAAAATAAATAAAATAATCCAGTCAAACTCGTGATGTAAAATGCTTTGCTATTATTCATCCTTTCAATGTTTTGGCTTTATTTTTAGATTTTAATGTTTAAAGACTTCTTACAATATTTTCAAGCATGGCTTTAAAATCCTGAGACTTCAACATCTGGTCATGAGTTACTTGCAGAACTTTAGCATAGTTTTCTTTCTTTTGAAAAATAATTAATATGTGATGGCTTTAATGGAGGGCAAATGAATAAAAGCAGCTTTAATGTTGACATAGTTTCAGCAGTAAGATTGGGCTTTATCAGGCCCCATGATCAGGGGTCGTCTGGAAAAGTTTATAATTTGGTTCCATGGAAAACTCCAGGGGATAGACCCTGGGCCTGGAAGTTTATTACTAGCTTGAGCTCTGAGGGGGCCCTCATCCCACACCAGTGATCTTCTCTGTTTATAGAGGATTTTCAACTGGTGGCCCTCCCTATGCCAAGATGGTCTTTCACTTCTTCAAAGCACTCATAAACATTTCAATCAGAATATATTGCTGTCCTTTCCTGTGGTACTATGAGTTCTCTGGTCTTGCTACATTTGTGAAAGAGAGAAAGGATTAGACCCAAATTTTACCCCACTCTCCTAAATGCCAGGAAACCTTATTTAAATTAACTTTCAGATTGCCCAATTCTGAGGGGTTCAATGGTTGAGTGTGTCTCCCCAAATCTCCAGTGTTAGAAACTGAACCCTGACTTCAATGTTGAGATGGAGGACCTTTCAGAGGTGACTGGGTCATGAGGCTCATATCTGGGAAACTGGTTTGCCATAAAGATGAGTTGAAGGTTGGGTCTTACGATCTCTTGCCCATCTGCCTTCCACCATGAGATGATGCAGCAAGGGGGTCCTCACAAGATGCAGCCCCTTGACCTTTGACTCCCAACCTCCAAGACTATAAGAGATAAATCTCTGTTCTTTATAAGTCACCCAGTTTGTGGTCTTCTGTTACATCAGCTCCAAACTGCAGGCATCTCTAAGGCTGTTCTGCTCTAGGTACTACCTCCAATCAGAAATGGCCAGCTCCTCGGGCCCATGTCACTCCCCTGGATACACACTAATGATCAAAGGAGGAAGTCACAGCTGACCCAAAGTACTTCCATATAATTCCTTCCTGGACACAAGTCCCATTGGGCTTTGCTCTTGGTAAGGCTTGAATTCATGGTTATGAGAAAAGGGCCTCCAAGGGAGGCCAGAGAGGGCTCCTCAATGCTTCTTCAGCCACACTCAGGACCACATGTTCTGGACAGAAAATGGGAAAACCCAGGCTGCATCAACTGGGCATTCAAAACACCCATCATGGTTCTCCTATGTCCCCTATCCTCAGGTTGGAGCCCCACAACCACATTAGAGGGCGATGGTTTCTTAAATTGGGAGTCTGACACCTGCGTGCTCTTTCCTGTTTCTTCCATCTTCTCTGCCATCCAATCCCTTCTACTGGGGACATTCCCAAACTCTTCTGGTCCTTCCTTGTCAGCACTGTGCCCCCATAAATCTACTCCCCAGGTAGACAGAGCAAGCGTCACTTTGTGTCTCATGCAACAGAGTTGTGATGTGGTTAAATTGAAACAGACAAGGGGGCAACCACCTCTCCTGGGAGCATTACGTAGGTGCTATCACTGATTAAAAAAAAAAGTCACTTAGGATTAATGATAAGTTTAAATTCTTACTGTAAGCATTAGTGATGCCCATCTTCCTATAAATAAAGACTATCCTATAAGCAAAGACTTTGGGGGAATCCCAAAGTGAGGAATCCCAATATCTAGGCCTCTAAGAAGCTTTAAAAGCCAGCTGCTTAGTGCCAAGAGCTAAAGAATCACAACTTCCCAGTCTTACACAAGAACTGTTAACCTGTGGAGTTAAAGGGTCCTCCTGTCTGAAGCCTGTATAAGCATAAGGACAACAGAGGGTACCACCAGCTGCTACTCCACCTGCTGCTATTAAATGCCAAAGAATAGAAAAGTTACTAAGAACCTGCACTTGAAAAGCGTCTTCTCACCTACCTACAATTTCCAGACTCTAGTCACCTGCCTTTTAACAAAGTCACAGCGGTGAATGCTCCAAGCACAAAAAGAAGAGTGGATCAGCCCTGGCCTCAGGGAGTTTCTGGTCTAATGGAGAAGATATGGTAACACCTGCAGGGCACCATTACCAGTTTCTATGGAGTTAGGATCATCTCAGTGCACTGATATGGCTCTCATTATTATTATTATTATTATTATTATTATTATTATTATTATTTCGACAGTCTTTCTGCCTTTGCTTTCTAGGATGCTGTGCTCTCCCATTTTCCTCCTACTTTCTCTTCCTGGCCCCTAAGTGGTCACTTCCTAGATGACCTAATCCAGTATTACAGATTTACACATAAACAAGAGTTTCCCATACTCACTTCTCAGCCTCCCCACTGATCTCCAGAATGTCACAGCCAGAGGCCTGCAGGACACCACTAATTTATCTAAGAGAACACAGCAGAATTTCCCATCTCTCCAGCCAGATCTTTCTCCAGTGGCAGTTTCTCCAGCAGCACTTTCCACCCAGGCAAAGGCCTCATCCTCAACCCTGTGGTCAGATCCAGGATCTTTCTCACCCTGCCTCTTATCCAGAATTTACTTCAACCGATTCTTCATCTGATCACTTTAAGGCCACCGCCTACTGACATCAGGCTTACAGACCACTGAAGAGCCTGCTTCTCTTTCCACTCTCCTCCCGAATAGCTGACCCCCAGGAAGCGGCCAGATTCCAACACACCCGACACAGCACCCTCCAGGGGCAGTTCACTACAGACAGAATAACATCTGAAGTCCTTACTACTGCATACAAGGCCATCTGAGTAGGAAGAAGAGCAGAAGAAGAAGAAAAAAAAAATCAGACAGGTGCAGCCCAAGGGGCTAAGGGATGGGTGAGAGGATCACCGTCTCTTAGATATAGAGGAAACAGGTCAATATCCCAAAGGTAACGATGCCCTGCCCATTGTCAAAATCCACTTCCTGTCAAGCTCTGCTTCACCCCTCTACTGTTAGCTGGCCAACTTGCTGCTCCTCCAACCACACCTAATTGATTCCAGCATCACGGTCTTTGCAGTTGCCAAGTTCTTTGCTTGAAGAGAGCTCTCGCTCCAGATCTCCTTAGACCCCGTGCTTTTATTTCCTTCTCCTCTTTGTTTCTATGTCTCCTTCCACAGAAACAGTGTTCTGCTTGGCCATCCTACATAAAACAAACTCACTCACTCTCTCTCTCTCTCTCTCTCTCTCTCTCTCTCTCTCTCTCTCTCTCTCTCTTTCGATCTACTGCTCCGTTCTCCACTGTACTTTAAAGTTGTTGCCTACTTCTCACACTAAAATGAAAAGTACATTAAAGCAGGGATTTTGACCCTGTCATCACTCAACAAAGACTTGTTGAATGAATGAATAAGTGCCAGGTCATATTATTTTTATATTCTTTTTTTGGAAAAGAGGACTCAATGTCTCATAGAGATAGTTACAATACTGACAAAAGTCCTAAGAGCCCCAAGAGAAAGCCATTTACTATGAGGACATTAGAGACAAATATTACATTATCATATTTTAATTATATTATAGACAAATAATCCACTGGATGCATACATTCCAATGTCAGGAGCGATACAAAAGAGCAAGGCAATGTGAAACATACAAAGGAACACATCAACACTTTACAAAAGAGCTCAGAGAAAATGCTTACCCTGTAAAGAGGTATGACTAAACTCCATTCTTGAATACAAGTTAGCAAGAAACAAAGTCCTAGAAAATATGTGTGCTTTCATAAGAAAGAGAATTAACGATGGAGCATATGCAACCGTGGTTTGATGTGCTATTGTTAGGCAGTACCAGAAGCCATTGAAGGACACTGAGGATGGACCCCTCCCGCACAATCAGCAGTTCGTAAAACCGGGAACTGTAGGTCAAAGGAATGGGATCTGAGTCATTTCTGGCTCTAGGTGAAGACATGGCTTTCTAAACTGCCCAAGGACCATACGATTGCTAACTAGGGCAAGGAAGAGAGTGTAGTCAGTAAAGGACTTGCTATGTAAACCTGAGGACCTTAGTTCAATCCCCAGCACCCAGGTCAAACCAAGGCCCAGTGGTGTGCACAGCAATCCCAGCTCTGGGAAAGCAGAGATGGGAGGATCCCTGGGGCTTGCTGGCCAGCTAGTTCAGGCAATATACGGAGCTCCAGGTTCAGTGAGAGATCCTGTCTCAAAAATAAGGTGGACCCTAAGGTGGAGGGCGAAAGAGGCTGAGGTAATTGTCATTATTAATGTCATTCCCCTCACAAGTGAAAATAACAAAACGTAAAGTATGTACACGATACAGGTTATGTATAGGAAATACAAAAGGACGACCCACATTTCTGAAACCTGAGAATACTTAGTATTGTACAATTGCCCACAAAAGGCACCATCTGCGTTCAACGGGCTTTCTCTGTGTCTGTTACTACAAAAGTCTTCTCCCTAAACAGAGGGTGAGCCCATTTGCAAAGCCATGCCTGTGAGAGCTCACCGGCAGGAAAGACCTGGAGCTGCTCGGCCCCACAGAACCAGCTGTGGTTATGGACTCAATAACAGGGTCCTACTGTACCCCCCAGACCAAGGAGGTCTGCTCCCTACAGAAGCAAAAGAGAACTCAAAAGCAGGCAGAGTCAATCAGAGGGGCGCCCTCACCAGGCAAAAGGAGGAGTTTCAGAACTCAAGCTTGAAGCTAGAAGACCTGTCCCCTGCCCCCCCTCACCCCACCCATGCTGGCCTTTAAACTTCTTCCTGGCAGGTCCCAGTGACAGTGCCCATTGACTCACCAGGTCTAGCATTCTACGGGCTAAGCCAAGGCCAATAGGTAATTCTAAAGCAACACCTCACCCTCACCTGCCTGGGTGGCTGGCCAGGGCATCCTCTCACATGAAGGATCTCCCGAGGGACCAGGAAGACACACAGTCCCGCTCTGGAGCTCTCCTGGTACCTGAGGCAGAATGGTCAACAGCAGAACTTAAGCCCTGCTGACTCACCAGCGTCTTCCCTGTGGTCTGTTGTGGTAACTGGGCTGGAGAGCCAGGAAGGGCCCTGGAGAACTGCTTCCTGCCCTGTGAGCCCCAGGGGATGTTTTGAACTGCAGCACAGGCAGACAACTCAGAAGCCACCTGGGTGGGACAGAGAAGAGGAAGAGAAAGGAAAAACAAACCAGAGACAGACACGCCCAAGTGTAAGAGCAGCTAGGAACAGTATATTGTCCTCAAAACAGCCTCACAGGTGACAGTAAGTGGGGTATTACGAATCTGGAGTTCAGAAACAACAGTCCCAAGGAGAGTCAGAATGAGATGCCTTCTTCACCGAGGAAGACTGCTGGGCAGTGCTCTGGTCAGGTTGAAGGATCTGGAAAGAGGGTCTGGCAGGGGTGAGGGAGAAGGGCTTTGGGAGCTGACTCCATGCAGGTAAGAGGCAGTGAAGGCAGATGGGCGACAGGGCCTTCTGGAGAAGTTGCCTGGGTAATCGGGGACCAGGCTTGGGTGATACTGCCATCCATGGTAAGAAGGGCTGACAGGGCTAAAAGAAAATACACTGTGGAAGGAAAATGGCCTAGAGACGAGTGTCCCTCAGCCAGACTGGGCCTGTGTCCTCTGCGTCTCTAGAATTCACATTAAGGCGGCCCACCGAGTCCACCCGCTCTACCAAGTCAAGGCCACTAAGAGTCTCCCTTCTCCTTTCTGCAGAGACTTCTGCTCCCTCTGGAGGCAAGTTTTACATCAAGAGGGGAACTAGTAACTTTGGGAGATCCATTTCTCCCCAAGTGTCAGGTTTTGTCCTTCGTGGCTTGTTTCTATCTTTCCTGGGGTATGCTACTTTATGAAGGGCAAACCTAAAGAACACTGGCCCTCACCATGGCATACAGCCAGGGGGATGCACACTGAAAGATCCTTACCAGGTCCCTTAATAAAGCACACAGGAGGCCCAGAGGGCTCCTTCACTAGAGTGGTGGTTTCCTTCCCACTTTGAGGTGCTCTCTGCAGAGGAAATGGGAGTGACTGGGCTCTTAGAGGAATATGATGGGTGGACTTCCCGGCCTGTGTCAGTCTCCTGGCTAGATGCTCTGCCCATGTGATAGGAAGCACCAACCTTGTCCTGTTTAGCCACAGGACCAAATGTAGCTGAATTAGGAGGGGCATTTCTGCTTCTCTCATGTGCTAAGTCAGACAGACCTTGACCTTAAAGACAAAGGTGGAGCCCGGTTCATCTGCTGTTTAAGAATTCTTAGTTCCTTGACCCTAGATCCTCTTCCAGGACATGTGGAGCTGGTAACTCATCCTCGCTAGTCACTTGCTGTGATCTTCCAGCTAGGGATGCCTCTAAGATCACCATTCCTCCCCTCTATCCTCAGGACCACCACCCCAAACACTTTCTAGATCAGGCTCTTGGACATTCCATCATTCCCACATCATTCCATAATCATGTTATTATAACTTCCCTGTTCCGTGGACACTTCATATTTCTGTTTTCAAATGACTTGAAGTCACAAGAAAACATGAAATAAAGCTACTGATTATTTGAAGATAACTGTAGAGAAGCTCGTCCTCAGCTAATTTTTCAGCTCTACCAAGAATTCCATCTAGCCAGGCGTTGGTGGCGCACGCCTTTAATCCCAGCACTAGGGAGGCAGAGCCAGGCGGATCTCAGTGAGTTCAAGGCCAGCCTGGGCTACCAAGTGAGTTTCAGGAAAAGGCTCAAAGCTACACAGGGAAACCCTGTCTCGAAAAACCAAAAAAAAAAAGAATTCCATCAATCCCTCAGTTTCCTGATACTTGGGAGCAAAGAAAAAAAAAGGGGGGTCACATAATTCTGCTGGTACAAAGAGGATGAGAGGAATGGGGGTACAGGGCTTCCAGAGTGAACTCCTAAAGGCCTCTCTACAGAATGAGAGTGAACTTCAATGGACTGAAAACCACTGGACTTTTAGGAGGAAATATTTACCAGGTGGTGTCTTTTAATATCAGCATGTTTCAAGAAAGCATCGAAATACAAAAGCCTGGGTTTTCAAAGGCCATTGTTTCAGTATTGGGACAGGGGTCTGAAAGCTAATACAAAGCTCATGGTTCTCCAAAGAAAACTATACTGCCATCACCACCCCTCCTGGGGGTGGGAAGGGAGGAGAGGGTGGTGATCAAAGAGGTCAGAGGGCTCTGAATGTGTGGTGAGATGGATTGTCTTAATGAATTGAGGACAAAGAGAAGGCGATCCAATTACCTACATTAAACAGAACGTTCATTATAAAGAATACTTTCCTAAGATGCTAATAGCATCCCTGCAAAGAAGCACTGGGAAAGGAATCGGTAATTAGTGGACCTCTTCTAACATCCCTCTTAAGTACCAATTAAACCTTCACTGGGAGCTGACAGCAGAGACCACAAGAATGTCTGCTCCAGGGTGTACCGGAGAAACAGGGTGCCAGGTTTCTGCTGTGTCCGTCTGCTGGTGGTAAAGTACACACTGTCTATCTGAGGAGGAAGGATCCTGTCAGACTCTGCTGGCTGGACAGAAAGCTGAACAACGTGAACTACAGACATGCCCAAGGAAAGAAAACATGCCTATCCTGACTGTGATTCTACAGACGTCCAAATGAGGGTGCAGCTGGGACAGCCAAACTCTACTCCAACATATCAGAAGAGAAGCTATTTCAGCCTGGCTAGGTCCTCACACTCTGGTCAGTTTCAAGTTAGCATTACCTGGGTGGGAACTTGCTGGACTTGAAGATTCTTGGGTCCACTTCAGACCTGCTTAACTGAAACTTTCATGGAAGAGCCTGTGTATCAACAAGCTCTCCTATGACTCTGATGCCCTGAATCTGAAAACCACTCATGTAGAAAGTTAGGGTAAAACATAGTAGCAAGCCACAGGAGATATTTTACAATTGCTGCTTTGCCTCTCTGCAGAGTTTCTGTTGTACTCCGAGAGGAAGAAAGGTGTTTGCACATGCCTATTGCAGGCAAATGACCAAAAGCACCTGGAAAGGGTTGTGAAGACCCAAGAGTTAAGAAACCAGGGAAAGGGGTAAATTTTAAGGAACTAATTCAAGTCTCAACTTGATTAACCAGAGAAGAGTCTTCTGTCTTAAGGTAATAATGCCCTTCTCTTTGAATAGCCAGTGCATACTGGTACAGCTCAAACATGAAAAGACACTGAAGGATATATAACCACGCTTGCCCCAAGGTGGTTAACACCAAAGTGCCTTCCAGAGTCAACCATATCATTGGTCTCTTGTAGAAAGATGGTAAAGAGAGACAAATATTTTTGTCCCATTTTTCTTACATACAAATGGCAGCATACTCTTCACATTGTTTTACACATTGCTTTTTTCACTTAATATAGGTTGGTGGCTGTGCCATACCAGAAACATCCAGAACCACCTGGAAGGGTTCTGAGTTTCTGAAAATATATAACAACACAGGGTGTGAGAGACTTCCCTGCAGAGAAGGAAAAACTGGTAGGCTACCATATGATTTTTCAGTGACCTCCAGAACGGAGCACATCCTCAATACTCCATTTGCAGAACATTCTACAAGCCCTATTGGTGTGTTGTTTCATAACACAACAGTAATATGGAAACCTTCAACTGGGTCATTAAATATAAAGTAGCAACACCGGATAGCACTAGTGCCCTGTGATTCAGGTACCCCAGGACAAAAGTAGAAAGGAGCTTAAACACTAGAGAAAACTCAAAGCAAGGACATGACTTGGAAGATCGTATCTGCTAAGTCCAATAACTATAAATCACATTTTATCTGTAAGAATTAAAACCCAATGAATGATAAAGACACACACTAAGAGCAACTTACTACTGATAGAGCCATTTCCTAACACTTACGATCAAGTATACAACACAAAATAAAATACATATAACCTTGCAGTAACCTCCATTGTACTAACATTTCCTTCAAAATTATTTTTGTTCATACTTCTTCAGCACCATTAGGAAGATGTCTTTCCCCTCTGATTTCTACTGAGCTTTTTTTACTTTTATTATTTTTTAAAACCAATGTAGCCTTCAAATGTAAAGCATTAAAGATTAAAGTAAATAAATAAATAAATATACAAATAAGTTTATTGGAAAGAATTCATATGCAATGTAATTTATACTAATCAGTAGGGTTTTCCTGATATAGTCAGAGTTGTGCAACCATCACCTTGATAAATACCCAGAGCACCTTCATCCCTGAGAAAAAAATCTATACTCACCGTTGCTCCCCACCTTCCCAAACCTCCCAACCCATGCAACCAGCAGTCCACATTCCATTTCAGCAGACTAACCAGCGTATGCAACACAACTGAAGACTCAAAATCAATGACCCTTTAGATAAGTCTACAAAAAAATGCCCTCCACTCTCCACTGAAGAACAGAGAAACAAAAGCATGAGGAAAAAAACCAAACATTGAAGGGCTATAGCATAGTACCAGATGTTCTAAAGCAAATAGTTTGTCCTAAATAAGTAAGAGAAAAATGGTGGTGATAAAGTGAAGCAAAAAGACTCTCAATTAATATTATAGCAGATAGAAAAAGAAGATAAAGGCAAAGAAAGATTAAACAAATAAAAATAGCTGACATATTTCATCCCAAACATATTAATAATTATATCAAATAAAAAGTCTCACACTAATTAAAATGGGATAAAAAAGAAAGATCCAGCCGGGCGGTGGTGGCGCACGCCTTTAATCCCAGCACTCGGGAGGCAGAGCCAGGCGGATCTCTGTGAGTTCGAGGCCAGCCTGGTCTCCAAAACGAGTACCAGGAAAGGCGCAAAGCTACACAGAGAAACCCTGTCTCGAAAAACCAAAAAAAAAAAAAAAAGAAAAAAAAAAGAAAGATCCAATTATATACTATCTACAATAAAACCTTCTTTGAGGGATATAGATGCAAGCACTAATTAAATAAAACAGAAATTGCTACACAGACAAAGGAGTTCAGAAGAAAGAACATTGCCAGGAACAAAGACAATCACTTCACAATAA